AACTCAGACTCACACTTTACTCACTCTCACACTTTCAGCCAAACAATACAATAGGCTAGGCCTAACCCCCTGCCACAACCAAAAACAACCAAATACACCACAAAAATCGGAAATTTAGATTCGGTTTTGAAACGCAATTTCGTAGTTTATTAGACTTTGTTTTATCGCGATGCCAAAATTATAGCCGGGACACCAGTCTTAGTAATTTTACACCACAAAATCTATCATTATTTTGCCGACTAAAGAAATGTAGGACTCTTTTTTATAATATTGGTACGATTGGACTCATATTGCCAATGCACTGTTATTGAGAAATCAATATTTTTTAGTGCTAGATCTAGGTCTAATCTAGATCTAAACTAAATTGTCAAAATATTTTTTTCTCCCCAAAATCACTACTTTTTAATGAAATTACACAAAATATGCCACTCAAGACATGTGTAGGTTTATTCCAAATGCAATTCTGAATAATTCCATATAAGATACGAGTGGGTTTTTGCTGTTTGTGATCGTTTTTCAAGAATAGATTATAAAATTGTTGTGCTTTTTTTCAATATCAGATGTTATGATCCAAATGTACAAATATTATGGAATGTATGTAAATAACTGCAAACTTTTCAATATTTTCCAGTTCTATATTCATTTATGGTTATTTTGATGTATCATTTGACGAGGTGCACACATATTTTTTGAGTTTCACCAAAGATTATTAATTTTTTATTTTCAAATATTTTTTCCGCATCCAATCAAAATTGTGTTGCTTAATCGCCTCTTACAGGAACCAAAGTTGAAAAATACATAAATAAACATTACAGATGTATTCTACAAACCATACTGAAAATATTGGTATATAATACGTTGATACAGTAGTCTCCGCCTAAGATCCCGCCTCTTACGATCCCGGTTCGCTTAAGATCCCGTTGTTTTAGGAAAACAGAATTTTTACTATACAAAAGTCACCCCTAAGATCCCGCTCTGATGGTCTACATTCGGCTAAGATCCCGCATTTCAGATCATAATTTGCTAAACAAAAACCCG